AAGTGACTTGTCCAGTATCACACAGACAGCAAATGTCTGTGTCTGGATACAAGCTCAGGTCTTTCTGGCTCCAGGTAAATCCTTTTATCCACAGCTGGTTGTCTTGTTATGAAAGTGATGAAAACCAAAACATATCAACAAAAACTTTGTCATAAAAAGAGCAATAAAACATTCCCATTTAGATGGTGCCATGGATAGAGCACTGGGCTTGAAATCAGGAAGACTCATCTTCATGAGTTCAAATCCAGTCTCAGAGGTTTACTAACTGTGCGACCCTGGGCAAGTCTCTCAACCCTCTTTGCCTCAGTTTCCTCATGTGTAAAATGAACAGGAGAACGCAATGGCAAACCACTCCAGTATCTTTGCCAAGAAAACCCTAAAATGGGATCACAAAGCCTTGGACATGACTGAAACAAATGAACAACAACAAATATTTAAAAATTTTTAAATCCTTCTGAATATTTTTCTAGGTTAGAAAAGAACTAGAATTTTATGACTAAGGGAGTTATTAGATATAGGAATGCATTGTGGAGAAAGCTGAGCAAGGCACTTCCATGGAATGCAGACAGAATACAGTCCAATCGTCCAATAATGTTTCAGGAATGGGCCTTCCTGAAGATAGGGTGGTAAGTTAGATGATCTCTTGAAGTTCTTGACTCCTCTATGAAGCCTTCTCTGATACCACTCCCCACAACTTCCCACCTCCACCACCCCACCACCACCTGCCACCACCTTCACCCCCATGAACTGCACCACCCAACCCACCCCAAAGTGAGCTCTTGCTCCTCAAATACCTGGCAGCACTTTGCCTGGACCTCTCTTTTTTGTTTAGGTAGCTGGCTTTTGTTGTAGTTATCTGTGTCCTTGACTCTCTCCCTTTCTGCCACCCCATAAGAGTACAGGCTCCATATCTATCTTTGAGTTTCCAGTGTCTAACGCAGGCCTTGGTACACAGTAAGTACTTAATACTTGTCAGAAATAAAAGTGGAATTACTCTACGTTTCTCCACTTCAATGATCTACCAACCTAAACTATGGCGTATTTACTTGGATGCAAACCTTTCCAATTTAGTCAATGAAACTCCTACTTGACAATGACAATGCTAGGGCATGGTATTTGTGGCTTTAAGCAAGATTTTTAAATGTTCCTTCCCTCAATCCCCCTTCCCCCTTACTGTGTTTGAAAATTGCACCCTCTCTGAGTTATTATGCTATGAAACCTTCACGCTTTCACAGAGACCCATTGCCAGCGTCCTATGAAAAAGAAAACACTGCGGGGAGTGGAAGTCAGAGACCGTAAGAAAGGGGAGATAGATGTGACCAGCACAGGGCAATCAAGAGTTTCTCCTTAGGGTGCCGATATTCTGGGGCAAGCAGGGACGAGTATACTTTCTCAGCCTGTTGCTTCCCTCCCCTTCTGATTTCTCCCCAGGGATTTCCTATTCTCTAACACAACTGCTCCTTACCCTCTCTCTCCCTACCCTTCCCCACTGTTCTCAAGCATTGCCCAGATCTACTACAACCCACCAGGGTCACCTGTCCTCTGAGCTGTCACCAGACAACACACAAACATCTCTTTCTAGGTTCCAGTATACTGGGGCAAACGGTTCCCTCTGTACACACACACACACACACACACACACACACACACACACACACTTACGCACACTACTATCACCATCACTACAACTGCATTTACCAGAGGCCCTAGGATTCCTATTATACCTCTACCTGGGATATTCCCATAGCATAGAAAGTCATGAGGAAAAGACCTGCCCTGAGAGGCACTTCTGCCAAGGTCTTTAGGAGATACAGACAGTAAGAGGTAGGCTGTTGTATTTGGAGTCCCCTATATGGCGATGAGAAAGAGTGTTTTTTGAGAGGGATGCAGGGGAGACTGGAGGAGGCAGAAGGAACAGACTGGGGAAGGCCACTCAGTGTTTGGGCCTGGGTCTTTTTCCTTTTATGTCTTCATAATAGTTAATGAGGGTATTCTGAGATGTCTATGTTGGCTTGGGGTTGTGACTCATAGCGCTTATGCAACATGTATCAGAATTTGGGAAATAGTTGCTGATAAAAAATGTGGTCAATTGGAACCTAGAGCTATCTCTTTAAATTATTCTAGCTGAACTCACTCCTGACTCTCCATCCCTACAAAACATTCTTTCTTTAAATTGACTTACCACTGAATAAATACTTGCATGCCCTGAAGAGCAAGATTTTCTGACATTAAAATGGGTGTATTTTTAAATGTATGCTTTTATCCAAAGATGTCATAAGGCGTAATGGAGAGAGAGCTTGCCTTAGAGATAGGAAGACCTGAGTTCAAGTTCCGCCTCTGAAACATACAGAATCTGTGCCCATGATCAATTTTCTTAATCTTGCAGTGTCCTAGGAAGCTTCCTAAGGCTACAAGAGAATGTGCTGACCTGTATTGATAGAGGAGGTTCCTCATATAATGTCATTGTTAAGTCGTTTCAATTATGTCTGACTCTTTGTGACCCCAAAAGGGGTTTTCTTAACAAAGACACTGAAGTGGTTTGCCATTTCCTTCTCCAGCTCATTTTGCAGATGAGGAAACTGAGGCAAACAAGGTTAAGTGACTTGCCCAGGATCACACAGCTAGTAAGCGTCTACAGCGAGTACTGAACTCAGAAAGATGAGTCTTCCTGACTCCAGGCTCAGCACTCTTACCCACTAAACCCCTAGCTGCCCTCTCTATATAATAGCAAGCATCTATATAGTTCTTCAAGGTTTGCAAAGTGCTTTACATATGTTTTATCATTGGATCCTTATGACAACCCTGGGAGATGGGTGACTTATCTAGGGCCTCATAGCTAGTGTGTGTCTGCAGTAGAATCAAACTCATGTCTTCCAAACTCCATATCCAACTCTATTCACTGGGCCACCTACATGACTATCAGAGAAATAAGAGGTCCAATCTCTATCCCTAATATTTAAAAATGTTTCCAAATATACATTCAGCCCTGCTCTCTTTTCCCCTAACAGCTGCCTGCTTTGCTTACTTCTAATCCCAGACATGGGAAGAGAGGGAGAAGTTGATCAAACAATAGACCTCTTGTCCCATAGATCAAAGTAGCGGATAGCCTTGGGCCTTAAAGTCAGGAAGACCTGAGTTCCAATCTTGCCTCAAACACTTACTAGCTTTGTGATCCTGGGGATGTCAACTTAACCTCACTCAGCCTTAGTTTCTTCATCTGTAAAACTTGGATAATAATAGCACCTACTTCCCAGTGGTGCGTAAAGTGCTTTGTAAATCTTAAAATGCTACATAAATGCTAGCTATCATCATCATCATCATTCCCTCTAACTCTTTCTACAAGAGATGACTAACATTATGTCCTGGGCAGAAATGAAGAGTAGGGGAGGGAATTGGTTTGTAGCTTTGCCTAAACATGCTTAGGATTAAATTTAAATAAAAAAAAGAAACTCCAAAAGTTATTTTAGAGATGAAAAAGTCATAGAAATTTATTTTTAGAAGTACAAATATATCTCAGTTGCATTTAGCTACAGTACAAAGGGAAATCAAATAGCACCTGGGGTGTGTTGGGACTCATAAAGACCTATTCCCCTTAACTCCTCCATCTGCCTTCTTCTTTTTCAACTTCACAACACAAGCCAACAGATCAAAACAGTCTTTTTTTTTCCTTCTATTCTGGCCACTGGGTCTCTAGAGGCCTGATTTTCATGCGAACAGTCCTGAGGGAATAGTCGGAACCTCGGAAGGGGATCCAGACTACTCCATTCTCAATCTCATAAGGACTGTTGTCTCTTGGGTCATAAGACCCCCCAGGATAGTAAATACCATTTAGATTGGCCCCCTGGCAGTTGTTGTACCACCAGCCACCTCCATACATTTCAGCACAATTCTCCTCCCACTGGTCATTGTCCTGATCGAAGGTGCTGAATTGCATGTTGGCATGAGATGTGTACTCAGTTCCTTCCTCCACAGAACCTTCGATCAGGGCATCCCCAGCAGTTCCGCCATAGGAGGAAATTCGTAGGATGTACCCTTCTGCCTCGGATCCGACATGAACGTTATACTCAGCATATACTTCATTCCCATCCCAGTCCTCCAGTTCTATCCGGAGGATGGACTCCTTCTGAGTGAGCAAGTGGAGGTATTCATTACCTAGCCAGAATTCTCCTTCCCCTTTGCCATTGACCTTGCCGAAACCTCTCTTGTAGTCTTGCCATGTCCGGTTAAAATTCAATGATCCATCACTTCTCTGTTGGATCAAAAGCCATCCTCCCAAACTGGTCTCTTGGTCACAGTAAACAGAAACAAACGTACTGGATCCTGCTGGCTTGATACTGAAAAGACCACTTGGGGCACCTGAAGGGTGTATTTGCAGGACATCATCACAGTCTAAAAAGAAAATTTGAGCTGGTTGGCAGAAGTTATGCTCAATCAAGGTTCTAAAGTCAGGCCTGGGCCCAGATAGAATTAAAACAGATCCCGGCCTCCCAGGATATACATTGGGTAAGAACCTATGCAAAAAAAAAAAAAAAAAAAAGGACATTTCTCATAGGGTTTTCCTCAGAGGAAAATCAAAGCTTTATTTGAATATCATGGTAAGTGGTATTTGACCAGCAGTGATGACATTTAAAGATCACTTATTATTACAGTTTTGTAGCTTTTTCCCCCTATTATCCTACCTGTTCTAAATGTTAACTGAGACATATGCAAAGACTGATCAGTGAAATGGGAAGGGGGTGTGGAAAGGGGCACTCACCACTATGCATTCAGAATGTTAGATTTATCTACCTGGGCTAGCATTGGAAGTATTTGAGAGGGCTAGCTCAAAATTGGGTTTCAGAAGAGTTTGTGGGTACCTCGGGTACTGCGGGTTCTACCATGACTTCCTTTGCTACTACGGACTTTGATGAATGTGCTTTCCTCTCTGTGGATCTCCCCATCACCTTCGTCCGCCATTTTCAAGAGCTTGCTTCCTTTGGTGAAAATCTTGCTACTGGATACTACTGCTTTGTGACTTACTCTCTCCTCACCTTCAGGGGAAAAGACAGGCTCCCCAAAGTGAAATGAGCTTAAGTCATCAGTGTCTCCATCATCCAGATGTGATCCTGAAACCTTACTGTCAGATCCTGGGGATGTCTCTGAGACATAGCTAGAATCCCCTCGGTGGCTTGAACTGTGGAATCTGGTCCCAGATGATCCAGTGCTGAAGAATTCAGCATGTTCAGGATGTAGACGATGGAATTCATCTAGGCTACCTATGCCAGTGAAAGATAATGAGCCTTTCTCAGGATGCTCAAAATTAAAATCTGGTATGTCACCACAATCAGCACCATCCTCTGAGTTGACCACTTCTTTGGTTACTTCCTTTCTGCCATCAGGACCCAAAATGGTCTTGGTGATAGTTTTGGAACATGCGTGGCGTGTGGTGGTGGTGGCACCAGATACGGCCTTTTCTTTACTCACTACAAACTCTTTATCTCCTCCAGAAACAAGTTTGCCGGTCTGGAAACCTCCGCCTCTAGTTGAGCTCCCACCCACTGATGACTCTTCATATCTGCTCCAATCTTGATGACCCCAATCTGGGTTTGCAGGCCTAGAGCTCCCATGCCCTGAGCTGTCCGGCCTGAAGCTCCCAGTTCCATAGCCCACATGCCCTGAGCTGTCAGGCCCAAAGTTCTCAGATCCAGAGTTCTCTCTGTGCCATGATCCAGTGGCTCCAGGATTCTGGGTTCCAGAAATTCCACTCCCAGGACTTTCCGGTTTATAGTTTCCAGGTCTGGTGCTTCCAGGCTCCAAGCCTGTTCCAGAAGGCAAGGCACCTGCTGGGGAATTCCTATCTCTGCCTGACGTCTCCAACACCATTTCCATCTGTTTCATTTCTATTAATGCTTTCCATTCTGGGGCAGCTTCCTGAAGTTGGCTTTTGAACTTCCCAGGAATCAGATCTTTTGAAATCTGAATTTTCAAGTTGGGCAAGTACTGGACCTCTTTGCTGGGGTATAAGTTGATGGCTGCCACCTGCTCGAGTTGCCCCTGTTCCTCTTCATAGCTCTTTATGTTGAGTTCACGTGCTAAAGACCTACTGCATGACCCTTTGCAGGATCGGATCTTGATGTCAATGTCCACCTAGAGAGAAGGAGAAAGGGAAGAATAAAGATAGAAGGTGAGAGTCACAAGCTATGACGGCCGAGGCCCTGATGGTTTGTAGATTTCTTGTGACTCTATTCATTTCCTTGACTCATGGATGTGCCAGCCAATACTCTCCATTTTCCACCTAATAGAAGATCTAGGAAGAGTTAGGGTTTTCTGGTAGTGTGGCAATGAAAATAGCTCAACATTTCCATAGAGTAAAGAATTCTTAATAGAAAAACTAGAGTTTTCTGGGAATATGAGATAATGACAAAACTCAGCATATGGAGATAGAAGCACCTGGGTTCAGATTTTTACCTCTGTCACTGTGTGACCGCGGACAAGTCATTAACCTACCTTAGCCTCAGTGGCCTCATTTATAAAGTGAGGGGGTTAGATTAGATAATTTCTAGGGTCTTTTGAGCTCAATGTCTTGTGATCTTGTGGTTTAGGGAAAGCGTGGGATTTAGAGTCAAAAGATCTGGATACAATCCAGATTCTCTGTCACTTACTACCCATGTGACCTAGAGGAAGTCACTTAATTTATCTGGGTCCATTTCCTCATTTGTAAAATGGGGCAGTAGAGATTAGAAACTTTCTAGTTTCTCTTCCAGATCAAAATCTTATGACCCCATGACCCATTGGGGAGCTAGAGCTTTTCAGTGATTCCCTTAAGGCTAGCCAGGAAGGTAATATGAATTGGGGTCTAGCTTAGCTGTTCTGATGAAAGACTGAGGTTCTATCTAAGTTCATAGGAAGCAGTGATCAAGGGACATCTCATAAAAGTGAACTGTTTGGAAAGATTTCAGAGATGATTGTTTCTCATTCTTCCATATCTGATATTTGGAATCAGGGGAACCAGGCTCATGAGTCTATCAGTCACGTACCTCAAGTCGCTTCATCTCCACTAGCTGATTACGGATATTGTTCTGCAGAGAAACGATTTTTTGTACTTGTTCAGTCACTTTGCGCTTCAAGATTTCAATTCTTCTCCTCAGATCTTCGGACACTTGGCTAAATGCATTATCATTATCTGAAATAGGAGATATGGGTAATGTGACAAGTGCCAAGTGGCTTGCTTAGAATAGCCAGAGTCCAAAGGATGTACTTCTACGTTAAAAAAAAAAAATGACCCATAGATATTTAGTTGAAATCTGCCATGTTTACTTAACTTGTAGAACTATACCAATTAGTCATGTGACTTTTGGAACGTAACATGGCTTAACTTCCATTGGAATTCTGCTCCTGTTTCTGGTCATGGTATGGAGGTAACCCAGGGCACTCAATGGTTGCTTGGGAGAGCTCTAGTTCTGCCAGGTTCTATCTACCAAGTAGAAAGTGCAGGCCAGATGATAGATTGTTTGTTATCTGAGAACAAGCTTGCTAAATTTGGAGAGGAACTTCTGCCATTTTGGCCATAGGGCACATAGCTTTCAAAGACCATGTATTAAAGCATTCCCTCTCCATGCAACTCAAAGCTACAATTGAGTGATCTGGTTACATTATGTATGTGTGTTCCCAGTGGGATGAAATTACTAGTCTTGCTGCAATAAAAAGAAATCACAGTTTCCATGTGTATTTTAAATGATAATTACAAAAAGACACAGGCAACATGGTATAGGGGATAGGAGGATGTCCTCAGAATCAGAATGACCGCGATTTAAATTCTACCTAGCCATAAAAAACTCACTAATGCAGTAGATAGAGCACTGGACCTGCAGTCAAGAAGACCTGAGTTCAAATCCAGGCTGAGACACCTTTAAACTCTGTGACTCTGAACAAGTCACTTAACCTTTATCTGCCTTAGTTTCCTTAACTGTAAAATGAAGATAATAATAGCATTCCCAAAATTGTTGTGAATATCAAATGAGACAATTTTTGTGAAGTATTTAGCTTAGTGCCCAACATATAATAGGTGCTTAATAAATGCTTATTCCTTCCTCTCATGTGTATTATTTGTGCGATATTTATTTAAGTTCTTGGTATCTCCCAGCAATTCTCAAAGACTCTAGGCTAATGATCAGATGCTGACCAATCAATCATTAGAAGGAGTTTCCTCTTCAGTAGTTCCTGACATCAATGAAATCACAAGTTTGATAAAGATTTTTTTACCACAATCCAGTGGGAAGATCATATATCTAAATTATAATCCTCACTCCAACATGTGACTTGCAATGTCACCCACAAGCAAATCAGAACTATGGATGTGCCTCAGTTTCTCTGTGGGATAAAGGGAGCAGCAGCAAATTCCACCTTATATCACAGGAATCATCACAACACAGGAGAGTGGGTACATGAGACAGTATCTGTCAATGCACCAATTTTTTTAAAAGAATAAATGGAATGTAGAAATCCAAGATAATATCTTCCATATAGAAAGTATTGGTTGCTACCAAATCTAAGTATCAAATACTTACTGTAGTCACCGGCTGCGTCCCCTCTCAGAATCTCCACAATGTTCCTGGTCACTGAGCTAGAATCTTTATTGTTCTTTTGATAATCAAACAACAAGTTTCTGATCTTGGTGATTCTATTAGTGAAGTCTTCATTGGTTTCATCGATCAGCCCCTTCATCCTGCATCCAGAAGGGCACTTATATGTCTAAAAATGGGACAGGGGAAAGAGAGTTGTTTTAAGGAATTATTTGGTGTTAAAGAAAACAGCATGTTAAGGATGACTAAGATGAAAATTTCCCAAACTACAATCAGTGGAGATAGAAAGAAAATCTTGAGATGTTTTTTATTGTTAGACATTACCCCTTCAGGAGCCATACAGCCCATTGCTTCTCTCCCCTGACCCATCTGTATTTTCTTGGCTTAGGAGTGGTTCACAGCATTGGTTTGTGCATTTGGAAACATTGGAAAGGGACATGCACGACTATAAGACAAACTGCAGGGTCTCCTCAACTTTGAGGCCAAAGATAATAGCTAGGTTCTACCTAGATATCATCTAGTTCAGGAGTTCTTAACCTTCTTCTGTGTCATGGATGCTTTCTGCAGTCTAGTGAAATCTATGGACCCCTTTTCAGAATAATGTTTTTAAAAGCATAAAGCAAAATACACAGGATGACAAAGGAAATCAATTATGTTGAAATATAGTTATTAAAACATTTTTAAACAAGTTCAAAGACTCAAGGTTAAGAATTTCTAATCTAAAGACCACCTAAGTCATTTCTAGGTAATACCTAGAATTTAAGTTTCAAGTATTTGCTACAATATTGCAGCTCATGTTTAGTTGGAACCGAACTGCCTTTGGCTGGTGAGCCCACTGGTTTGTGTCCACTGGTAGATAATTAAATATTCTTATGATGAGAGGTTTTCTTAGTACCCTCAGGGTTTGTCTCCCTTCCATTTGGCTATTCTTAACCAGTAACTGCTAATTAGTTGATTGTAACAAAAGAGTTGGTTGATGCATACTCATTTCAAAACCTTGGCTTAGTAAGGTTTAGGTGTAGGTAGTAGACTGCTTTTCCCCTCTCTCTTGTCTTGCTCTTTCATTAAAGTTGTCTGTGGCCTCATTATGGCTCAAGGGTGACTGTGGTCCCTTAAAGCCTAGGCCATCAGGGCACAGGCTCTATAAGGTTCTATGAAGCTGGAAGGTGCCAGGGGTGGTCTGCTGATGAACTGCAATTTGGCCATGCAAGGGCTAGCCTAAGCTTAATTGTGGAGGATCATCACCGGCTTGGCCACAGATGAGGAATTTTTTGGTCAAAGCAAACCAGATGCCAAGTGGTAGAGGGGGGTTGCAATGTCCTTTAGCGATCAATCTTTGAAAAAGGGCTGCCTTACCCAATCTTCATCAGAACAGAAGGGCCAGTCGCCTTCTTTGCAGGAAGAGGAGACATGTTCCACAACTCTAGGACCTCGAACACCTCCTCCTTCAGCTAGGAAGCTTCCTTCAGTTTTAGTTGCCTATAGAGAATCAAAAGACACAGGAAAAAGTTGTCACCAGTGGGTATGATCCGGAAAAGGCTCCAAACCATTATTGGAGGCCCAGGAGCTGGCTAGCGCAGTGCATAAAGCGTTGCATCTGGAATTAGGAAGATGTGAGTTGAAATCCTGCCCTGATGCTTACCAGCTGTGTGATCCTGAGCTAGGATCTGTCTGCCTCACTTTCCTCATCTCTAAAGTGGAGATAATAGTAATAGACCTACTAAGATTGTTGGGAGAATAAAATAAAATAGTATTTGTAAAGTGTTTTGCAAACTTCAAAGTACAAAATAAATGCTAGTTAATGTTTTTTTAAGCAATGGCAAAATGTTTGGGAAGGTGACAAATTCAACTGGACTTTTCCATGTGCATTAATAATTAGGAATAGGGTGTGACCTTGGTGGCATGCTGCTAGCAGAACATGGTTTTGAATCAATGAAGAGAATGGTGTTGCCACTGTTTGTGACTATGTGAAGGATGGAGTTGGTGACAGAACTTTGGAAAAGGGAGATAGTCTTTCTACTTTGAGACAACTTGAGTGGTTCCGTACTGTCTTGTGGACTGACTTGAGAGCATAGAGAGAGACAGTCTCTGGAAGGCAGAAGGGTAAGCCTGTAAAACACCTCAATGTGTCTTACAGCTTAGTTGGGAGAAGAGTTACTGAAGTATCCTAGTGATAGTCTGGTGAGTGTCTCAAGCTCTTCTAAACCCTCTGCCAAAGTCACCATCCAGTTCAGAAATAAAATCAGGCGCAGCAGACTCATTAATGTACAGTGCCACTATTTCTTAGACAGCAAGACACATATCTTTAACTTTAGACCAGTCAATCTCCTCACTTTCCTCCAACACCATGCTTATTCTTACTCCAAAGTATTTGTTCAGCCTCCTCCCACTTGGAATATCCCTTCCTCTTGACTCGTACAAATCCTATGCATCCTTCAAATCCCACTTCCTCCAGAAAGTCTCCTCTGATGACCAGACCACATTGATGAAGGTATTTATAAAGAGCTGTAAAGTTTACAAATCACTTTACATACATTATCTCATTTGAACCTCACTACAACTTGGTGAGATAAGTACTAAAAGTATTATTATCTCACTTTTACAGATGGAGAAACTGAAACTCAGAGAGGTCAAATGACTTACTCATAATGGCTACTAAGCTTTAGAGATGAGTTTATAGCTTGGTCCATCATATGCCAGAGACATGGATGTGATTATCATGACATTCAGATTCCAAAATCATCTTTCCACATCTCTGTTCATTTGAGCCTTTCCTTTTTGGAATGGTGAAAGCTGGATAAAAAGCTAGCCAGCCCATGGAACTTTATTTTGGGAGACTAAATTCTAAATGCAGATTCACAAATAACATCTGTGATCCCAGATTCAAAACATGATAGGAAAAATTCTCACATGGTGATTCTCCATTTTTAAAAGTAACAGCTAAATGTGGGGCTTCACCATGTCTATTTTAAGACTTAATTTTTGAGGACTTTGCTGGGAATGTTTTAATATGCCCAGGAGAAAGACTGACTCCTGTAACTGGGTGCCACTCCCTAGAGCTTGTTAAGGGAAGCAAGCCATTATGAATTTTTTGTCTGTTGCATACAATAATAACAGAGAAGCAATTAAAATCCACTCATCAAATTGAAGTAAGCCAAAGACAACAAAGGCAAATCTTGATTATCTGTAGTAATGAGGGGCCCAGAAAGCAAGAATAATTGAAATCCATATATCACCCAAAGCCTCATTATATTTGTAACTTTTTAAAGTTTTTAAATGCCTTAAAAAATATCAGGTATTCATTTCCCATTCCCAAGATGCCATTACTTCATGGAACCCTCCTTCCTTGGGGGAAGATTGGAAAGAGAGAGAGAGAGAGAGAGAGAGAGAGAGAGAGAGAGAGAGAGAGATTAGCAAAACTAGTTTATAACTGACAGCATCTCCAATATTCAGTTTCCATAGAATCCCACTTCTCCACTGAGCAAAGCCTCATTTTAGCTCATAGTTTCAACTTTATCCATGACTGTATCTTTTGCTAGAGCCATCTAAGTAGCAAAACCTGGCTGGTTCAATTAAGTGCCTCTGATCTCCCTGTCGTTTCTCCAGAGTTGATATTTCCAACCACTTAAACAGAAGCAGTGAATTTGTTTAACACAGAGAGACACTAGAAACCAGACTTTGGATAAATGAGAGGTGAGTGACTCATTAATAAATACATGGTACCTTTTAGAGAGAGAGACAGAGACAGAGAGACAGAGACAGAGAGAGACAGAGAGAGAGAGAGACTTTGGAAACATTGCCATATGATGCTTTTCTGCATTTAGACAATTTCCTGGAGGAAAAGGTTAACAATTTTCAAAAAGCATAACCAGTTCATAAGACTATCCTTACTTCTGAAACACCATTATCTATCTTACCAACTCCCTATGCTCCTGATTAAATAATAATTCACATTTATCTGGCACTTTAAGGTTTGCAAACCTCTATCCTCACTGCAAGCCAGTAGCATTAACATTATTATCCTCATTTTTATGGATGAGAAATGTGTTCTGTGCTGGATAGAGAGCCAGGAAAAACTAATTCAAGTCCTTTGTGACTCTGATATTAACCTTTTGGTGCTCTAGGCAAATCTCTAAGGCTATAAATTATCAAGAAGATACAGACCTAATTTGATAAAGGTAGTTGATTCTCAAGGGAGTCCCCCAGGGATAGCACAGCTCCAGTCTCTCCTCTTACTCTTTTACAAATGAGGAAATTGAGACTCAGAGAAATTAAGTAAACTTGTCATATAACTAGAAAGTTTGTATCAGGTCTTAAACCTAGATCTCTCTTGATTCTAAGTCATTCTCAAATACTCTCTCTTACTACAATACACATATTTTAAAAGATTACTTATGTCCCTTAAAAGGGGCAATGAAAAAACTCTACAGAAAAGTACTATAAAGACAACATTTCTTGTCAAAGTAATGAAAAGTAGGAAGTTAAACTTTAAAGCCTAAGAAAGCCGATATTCTTAACTATAATTACTGAGCCTAAGCATTATGGTGTTACTCACGGCAGAGATTTCCTGGCTTTCCTAATATCCTCGCAAGACTTGGTTGCTCTGGACCAGACTAGAATGTCAGAGCCTTTCCTCCACTCCCCCTCCTACTTCCCATTCATCCCTTGTGAATCATTGAGGTCCTTCCTCCAGTCCTTTGCCCAGGAACATGCCAGACCTATCTAGGGAACTGTGTTCTGGCAATTCCAAGTGTCATGAAGCACCAAGTTTTTAACTGTCCAGAAGCGGGAAAATTGATGAACCTGATAAATAGCAATGATTTCAGGTTTACAGAACAATCTCACAAGAATTGCAGGTCTCTGATGGAGGTCTTTGTGGGTTAAGCTGAAAGAGGATAGAAATAAAGGAGAAAATAAATCAAGAGAACCATACCCAGGCTGTGCCCACTGCACACAGGACCAGGACCAGGCAGAAGATCCTCCCTGGAAGCATCTTCTCAGGGAGTGGGAATGAATAGGAAAGAACTTCTGTTGGAAGGATGGCTTACACTGCTTTCTTCTTCCCATTTAAGTCCCCCCAGAAGTCTGTGTTAATGATTAACTTTGTCATGTTTACAGGGTCAAGAGACAACCTACATCCCCTTCTCTTGCTGTCAGTTTGGTGCCCCAGAAGCAGTTGCTTAACTTTTCCGAGCTTGTTTGCTTCCGATAAGTTGTTGCAATGGTGACATTCACTTCTTAGGCCAGCACCGAGGGTGAGTGGGTGGGATGGACTGTGATGGGAAGAGCACACATTACTGGAACAGAGTGAATTGAAAGCTGCCCAGAAGTTGATTTTGTAAAACAAATGGGAGAAGGGGAGAAAATGGCCATACTTGTTCATATGGAAGATTAGAACTGGAACTACCAATGTCCCCTAAAACACAACCGAAGTCAAACGGGTGTTTGACAACTCCCCCATAAATTCGGTTAGTATAAACCCCTACCTTGAGGCCTAAGTTATCCGGGTGGGTGAGATGCATTTCAGAAATACTCCAAACCTTAGCCAAATTTCTGCTTTGATATTGGCTTTGTTGACTAAGCCAGAATATTATTGGTGGCCAAAGAAGAAGACTCATAGGACAGAAAAATGGAGCTCTCTTTGGAGCCAGAAGACCTAGGCTTGGCCACTTATTAGACACACAAATTTTGTTAAATGTCTTTACATCTCTGAGTCTCAGTTCACTCATCTGTAAATGATAATCCTTGTACTACCTACCTCATTGGGGTTGTTATGAGGATCAAATGAAATGATGGTTATAAAGTATTGTATAAATGTTTGTTATTATGATGACTTCAATACTCCAGAAAATTCATAGTCTCATGGACATGGGATTCTCTTCCATTAGAGTAGATTCTAATCTATTCATATTTTTTTACCTTATGTGATTCTTATCCACACTACAAAGAACTAGGTGGTACAGTGGATAGAGCACTGGGCCTGGAGTCAGGAAGGCCTGAGTTCAAATTTGGCCTCAGACACTTCCTACTCTGGGCAAGTCATTTAACCTCTATCAGTTTCTGTTTTCTGATCTGCAAAATGGAAATAATAAAAACACATATGTCCCAGGGTTGCTGTGAGGATCAAATGAAATATCATTTGTAAAATGTTTACCATAGTGCCTGGCACATAGGAGGTACTTAAGAAATGTTTGCTCTCTTCCCTGGGCATAATCATGCTTGTTGACTGACTGCCTCAATCCTGACCCAGATGCTCTCTCCTATTCCCATTTACTTTTCTCTGCCCTGCCTTGACAAGGGCTTTGCTCCTCTTAAGCCTCGAACTGCCCAGAGAAAGGCCTCTTGGGCTTTGTAGATTATTCTAGATGCTTCATTCTCCCATCTCACTGAAGGTACAAAGAGTGAGGCTTTGAGCACAAGTCATAGACCAGAAAGCATCAATACCATGTCAGGACCAGAAGTTACTCTTCTTATAGTTCTTGACAGAAAGGCTGTGGCCAGTTAGGCATGAAAAGTGAGGATCTGTGCATTCTAGCACGACATGAAAAGGCCATAATGGGAGGTGAATTCAAAGTCCCTGAAAAGCTCTTAGGCTTAAAGTTGTGATCCATTCACATAGAATTTTCAGGGATATTATGCTTGCTGTTTGGGATTGTTTCCCTGGGCCACTAAACACAGCATCCTTAGAAAGTCCCTAGGTAGACTTTCTGGTGCCAGTTAACATAGGTTGCAAAGACTTGGACTCATAATGTTATATTTTCTTATCTGTTCATATATTATATCCCTCCAGAAATATGTAAAGTCTTTGAAGACAGGAATGGTTTCATTTTGTCTTCACCTCGCATATAATAGGTACTCAATAAACGCTTGTTGAATTGAATTGGGGTACTGTACCTAAGGACACCTCATGGAGTGCTCAGTGCTATGGGGGACTGGGTGTATTATAGACAGGCAGACAGTCATTCAGATAGAGCAATGGAAACAAATTTGAAAACTAAAATCCACTGAATTGTTCTTTTTGTGAAACCAAATCAGGTACCATGCTTCCCCTTTCTTCAGAAATAGTGGTGTCCCTCACATCCTCTGGCTGAACTCTATTTTCCATTGGATTTCCTTCAGTACTTCAAAGTATCCAAGGCTTCATCATTGTCAATGTTCCTTCTGCTGATGAAGGTCACAATCTCCACCTTCTTGACCAGAAGATGATTTTGTGAATTTCAAATATCAGAAGATTTTGGACTTCCCATTGCCATCTTAGCAATATCCCCAAAATAGTCCTACTGACAGTAGCATGCACATAAGGAGCCAGGGACAAACTAGGCACACTGAATAAAGGCATTTCCAGACTTTATTAGGAGCCATACTCTATGAGGAGACCATACTCTAGGTGAACTTCATCAGAACCCCACCCAAGAGGATAGAGGTGGGGGAAGAGAAAGTAACATAACTCACCAGGAGCTGTGATTTGCCGCTTTACTACTCAAGCCCTCTAACCCTGAGCCCACTTCTCTCTGATCTTTGTATGTTCTCGTAAAAGAATGTGTCCCGTGTTTGAGGGGATGTTTTGTATCAGTTGTTCTTACGTATACCACCAGAGTAAACACACATTTCTAAAAGCTAATTAAGTAGGGGAAAATAATTTATATCAACTGATAATCAATGGGGAAGTACAATTATGAGGGGGCTTATAAGCAATAGCATTAGAAAAAAACTCCCAACCCCTTAGCACTGAGGGAAGAAGCAGCCATCCATACCCTGGCAACTGAACCTTCTAGGTTGAATATGGGTTGGAAAAGCGACCCCAGACCTTGCCTTAAATACACATTACCTCATCTGATATGCACAACACTGTGAGGTAGGTGCTATTATTATCCCCATTGCACAGATGAGGGAACCAAGATTTACAGAAGTGCATTGACTTTGTTGTTGTTCATCTTTCATTCTTGAAGCAGACCAATGACTTGCAGGGCTGTGCAAAGTCATCAGCCTTGTTCTCTCCTTCAGAGTCATTAGAGTCTAATGGCAAGACATAAATCAGGATGACTGGAAAGGTCCAGGATGCAGTAAGAGACTTTGGCCTTTTTAAGCTGGGGTCTTTCCTAGGTGTCAGTTTGTCTGAGGCAATACCCATTCCGTGGTTAAAGGCTAGGGAGGAATTAAGACAGAAGATGGCTTAGTTTTTCCTTCCCAAAAAATTAGTCTGGGAGGAAAAGACCCTCAGAGTTTCTGGCCAGAATAGAAAACAATTGCTATTTGCATTCACCCTGAGCCATCAAAACCCAAAACAAGAAACAAGTAAGGTTTGGGCTTTTGGCCAGTCAGTGAAAGCCAGAGTGATTTGGGTTTAAAGGCAAAGTCAAGTAGCTCCATTTGAATCACAATAGGCATTTTCAAAGCCTGTTTTTTCAGAGCTATAGTTCAAGAAATAATGAAACTACATGAGACAAAAGAGTTAATTGTCCCAGCTTTTTGGAAAAAAAAAAAAGATAGAATAAATAAATAGGGAAGAAAAAACATAACCTCCAAATCCTAAAATATCTTGCAAAATATAAGTGACCAAAATTTATATTCCTTTGAACAAAGCACCCACATGTAAGAGGATAACTCCTCACATAGACAGAGGAGGAGGAGGAGGAGAAGAACATTATTTAGTTATCCTTCGTTCTCAAAGAGCACCAATGACATCAGGAGAGGGATGTCTTAACTCGCAAATGAATCGGATTTAAGTGAGGCAGGACTGTGCAAAGTCCATCTTCAGCTTCAGTCTCTCCTCCAAGCCAAGGTCACAGAGCCATAAAGTATATGAGACAGGATTTAAACTCACATCTTGCTGATTCCAAGTCCACACACACAAATACCGCCTTTGACCCTTGTTTATGATAATGAGCTAGTTGCTGAATCCCCCTCTAAGACTCATCTAATACTTAAATTATAGAGGTAGCTATCAGCAAGGTTGAAGAGAGTTACCAAAGCAAGAGCTAAATGTACAAAGACCAAAAACAAAAAAAGAAAGAAAAAATAGGCCTTGACCTTTGAATGCTCTCCTTTATGCTCTGATTTTATTTCAGTTATGCAAGGGGTCCCCAAAGTCCTAGTTTTAAGCAATTAAAACTTTAATAACTTGAATAAATTAATAAATGGGTACGCAAATGAATGAACAGATGAATAAATGGATAGATAAATGAATAAATGAGTATAGTTCTTATAGATATGCTATAAGTTTATGCAAAATTCCATGCAAACAGAATCCAAAGTCTCTTTCAGCAGCACTGCTGTATAAATCAATCCATGGAATCTTGATGATCGTAACGATGTGGACACAAACAGTGTACAAGTGTCCTAGGAGAGGAGTATAACGGTGAATCTGAAGATTTTGAATTTGTTTTCCAAGGGTTCAATTCTGAAAAGATTGTTGTATTGAAATTGGAATATGATTGTCAGCAATAATAAGTAGGGAGAAAGTTCTAGGAGCATCATTGATCAAGAATGGGCCTCAGGGGCAGAGAAGTCAAATGGCTCGCCCAAGGTCACAGAGGTAGTGTCAGAGAAGAAATATGAACCCAATTCCACTGAATCCAGGAGAACCAGTGCTCTTTCCATTTGACTTTATTGTTGTTATTCGGTCATTTCAGTCATGTCCGACTCTTGATTTTGCTATTTAGTATTTTCTTTTATCTTAGTTTCTATAGGAATTAATGATAAAGCAGGAGTCCCTAAATGTAAATGACTCATCAGATAACTGGGACCAAACTGCTCAACTTTGGGTATCTTACTACCTGTGTGTTACACAAATAACCACCTTTCCACCTTCCAGGGAGGCTGTAAAGGTTCATAAATTACAAAGCTTTTTGTTGTAAAAAGGGAATCTATTTGTATAATGACCTGAGTAATACTGACAAACTTGTAAGATTTCTAGGGCACACTAATCTACCAGCTAGTGAGTGTTACAGGGGACAATAGCCTTGTATAATCCTGAAGACAATGAATGGAGAGAAATGCGAACACATTCCTAAAATAAACATTCACACAACAAGGATTATGTACTA